GGTTCCACAATTTCAAACTGCACTTCCCACTTCAATATGCTTTAGAAAACTAAACTTCCAGGTGAAGTTTCCTCTGAAACGGCTGAACTTTCAGTCTGATGCATCTCAGCCTGCAATGCAAGCAGACGCCTGGTTACCGATGAGCTAAACTAAAACTACAAACCAGCAGGTTTCTCATTTCTGAGTTTCACGTTTCCCTTTTGTCTTTGGGTAAAATCCGATTCTCTGCTGTAACTTTACTCCAGGACAGAGGAGAAGGTGAAACAGCTGCAGGACGTGAAGCAGGGGATTAATGTCAGTCCAACATCCACTGTAAACAAACAACAAAAACAACGACGGACTGGAAAATAAAAACACGCATTAATCACTGTGAGCTCCGTTTCTCTGATTTACTCTCATTTCTATTTTACTGTCAATTCACAGCTTTTAAATTAAATTACTTCCTGCTTTCATTTTCTCTCTTTTCTTGGTTTCTTAGTTGAATTTATTGTTAAATTTGTTCAGTTTTCTAAAACTATGCAGCCAAAACCTGTTGATATGAATCTGCAGAACTGAAGCTAACAGCGCTAACGCTAGCTGCTAGGTCAGTAACAGAAACATTTAAAGGTGGTCAGTAATATTCTATACCTTTTCTTTTTAACGCTTAAAAACAAATAAACTTATTTAAGGATATTGGTGAAACAATCTGCCTTGAACTAAGACGGTGAAAAAAACTGTAAAATAGATCAAATCTGACAAATAATTGAGTTTTACTTTTAATAGGCCGTTGTGGAAAATGGGATTTTATTCTCTATCAGCTTTACTAATTAAATAAAAACATTTTAAAAATTAAGATGAGCTTTAGTTCAATAGAATAATAACATATTTTAAAGATTTAATTTGTTTTTGAAGTGTTTCAGATGAATTTTAATCGTTTTGTTTGAAGAGTTTTTAAATGCGTTTTAACATTAATGAGCAGGAAAAAGTGACTTTCTGGAAGTAACTGGTTTATCTGGTGAGGAACTGGAGCCTCTGCTCTGCAGAATGTTTTCATTCAGTCACAATGAACGGATTACCAGCATCAACAACCTATTGAAAGTCTTTCCACGGCATCTCAATTGGAGTTAAGGCCAGACTTTGACTAAGCCACTCCAGAACTTTCATTGATTTATAACTTTTAACTTTTAGTGGAGCTGCAGCCTGTTGGATCTTTGTTTTTCTATAAATATGAGTTTCTGCTACAATGTGATTTAAATCATTTAACTAAAGCAGAAAAAATCTAAAATTATTTTAATTTCTTAAGGGGAAAATATTTTTCTAACCCAGACTGCTCTCTAACCTTTGACCTTTGAGTCTGAGACATTAAAAAGATCTTAGATGTTTTAAATCTTCTATGTTTCATTTATTTCTGTCTTATTTTATTTTTGTTTCACAAATGTTGGTGTAATTGTGGATCAACTGTTTTCCTTTCAAGCGAATAAATAAACTTTTTGTTTTTGATGCTGTTTTGAACATTAACATGAAAAACATGGAATATTTTACAGAATCCAGAATAAAATAAATAAAATAACAAATAAATAAACGACACAAAGAAACAATATTTGTCTTGAAAAAGGAGAAAATGTTTGATTTAAGTGGTCAAAGGTCAGAGGTTACATAAAATTAGATGAATACCTCAGATCAAAGGTGTTCAAAGTATGGTGCAGGGGCCATTTGTGGTCCGCGGAGTGACTGTATACGGTCCACTGACCACAGAGCAAAACTACAACTTTTAGATCAAAATCAACTTAGAAAAATGTTATATGCAACAAAAAGTTATACTTCCAGTTAGTTACAGTTTTTTAATTACAAACTAACAGAAACGTTTCATAGTTAAAGTCAAACTGAAACCCAGAGAAAAATCAGACTCACGGCTTTGACAGGAAGCTCCGGCGCAGCGTCTCTGTTTGGATGTCAGAGTCTCTGCTGCGCTTTGTTCCAATCAGGAAACGCACCAATCAGAGCGGCCGGTTGGACAGAGCAGCAGGAGAGGCAGCGTCTGCAAGGTGTGTGTGGAGACGACGTCACCACACACACACACCTTTTGTTTCTCTGACAGCGAGGATGGAGGAGTGCAAAGCTAACAATAAAGCAGCTAACACCTGCTGAAAACACACACACCTTTCTGGTGGCGGATAAACACACACACACACACACACACACACACACACACACACACACACACACACACACACACACACACTCGTCTTGATGATCAGTGAAGGAGGAAGTTTACAGATAATCCTGATCATCAGTTTTTTCTAATTATAATTTCATGAGCATTACAGCTAGACATGCTAATGCTAACGCTAGCAGATTTTGCCTCCAATCCTGGATGAACTTTAAATGACCTCAAGTCTTCCCAGGTTGATCAATAGTTGCTTTGCAAAGATTGTTGCTGACGTCACTTTGCCGTGACGTTTCGCTAACTCAGATTAGCAAAACGCTAAAACAGTTTGATAGAAGCGTCTATGCTGATGATAATCAGTTAATTATGTTGGATGAGCGTCACCTAGCGACGACCTTCCCTCATAACCCTGCAGAGGCAGCAAGAGTTTTCCTGTGACTGTTAGCATAGCTAGCTATGCTAGCAAAGTGGTTTAGCAAACCAAGATGCTTCTCTGGAAACAGTTTTGTGGAAAAAGCAGCAAAATACCAAAATAAAACCTTTAAAAACCTTCAGAGAGATTTTTATTTTGGTGGATTCCTGTGTGAACGGCTTGCGACCCTGAAGCGATCCGCATGCGCAGGATGAAAATGTAACCGTCACACAGCAGCAGAACGTTTGTGGAAGCAATAATGGATCAATAACAAAATGTTTGATCAACAGGTTTTATGACACTTTATGCTGCAGAGCATCAAACAGCAAAACATCTGTAACTAACATCAACCCACATCAAACAATTCGGCCTACATTATGAATATTCTTTGTTTTCTATCATTTAGAAACAACGAAGAAATAAACCAATATTTCTGTGACAAACAGCAGAAACAGAAGAGAAAAAAACAAGAAATGCAGCAAAGAAAAACCATCAGCCTAAGAAGAATTGATCAAAGGCAACAACAGATTAGAAAACAGGTTGGTGTAGAACCAGGAAGAAATGAGAACAAAACCCTGCAGCCTGCAGCAGAACCAATAAAATATTAAACAACCCGTTGGGTTGGACCTTAATACTCTTTAAATCACATCAGTGCATAATCTGATGTGATTATGCACTGATCACATCAGATTATGCACTGATCACATCAGATTATGCACTGATCACATCAGATTATGCACTGATCACATCAGATTATATGATCAATGATTATCTACCTAATCACCTGAGGTGATTAGGTAGATAATTACCTCTAGAGTAAATATCTAAAAAGATTCTGTAGAAACTGTCGGAGCCGATACAAACAGACCGGTTCAAAGGTTAGCGTGGTTAGCGTGGTTAGCGTGGTTAGCGCGCCGCTGCAGCGCAGCAATCAGACGAAATGCAGCACAAACCTGCGACCAGCCGACATTTCTCTGTTCCCCATCAGATCCCAGCAGGACACGGATCAGAACGTCGTTTCACCAACTGCCACGCCTTCCACAGTGACCAGGTGTGCTGCTGCACCTGTCCTACTGTGTGTGTGTGTGTGTGTGTCTGTGTGTGTGTGTGTGTGTGTGTGTGTGTGTCTGTGTGTGTGTGTGTGTGTGTGGGGTCTAAAGTCTAAAGTCCTGCATGTCATCCAGTCAGTAGCAGCAGCAGCAGCGCTCCATGTCACGCCCCAAACCCAAATACACACCAGGCTGAGCGAATGCCAAAGCCTCAACACTGACAGATACATTTGGCCTATTCAAAGTATGTTTGTTGCATTTTTAGAAGGAAATGATTCTTAGATAATGAGATTTCAGTCTGCTCTGGTCAAAGTGAGGCGTTTTAGGGTCAATATCACTTTAAATCCAGAGAACCTGCTGCTGACTCACCTCGAAATCAAAATCACAACTTTGAAAGCAGAAGTGGGGCCTCCTGCTCAGAATGCACCACATGGTTTCTGGATTGTGAATCAACAAGGCCGGTTGCAATAAATTAATTAATCTCATTATAAACTAAAACGAGCTCAATAATTTTCAGATTTATTGTTTTTCCTCCAAAAACTGGAGATAAAAGTTTCAGTTTGGTGTTTCGGTCTCAACTAAAAGTTTGTTCAGTCAGACTTCATGAATAATTTATTTTTGTTTCACCAGCTTTTTTTATTTATCTTGGATTTTCAAATATCTCCCGATGTTAAATGTTCATGACAATTATTGATATCTGATTATGTTCTTGCATTGAATTACTTGAAAACGATATTAAAAACCAATAATATCATTTATCACAATAAATTCTTTGTGTAAATCATTTCTACTGTGACATTTGTCTCCTGACCTCCTGCTGTTTGATTAAAACTCACTAATTATTGGTTAATAAATGTGTTGTTGGATTTATAAACTCATTTTAAATCATAAACTCAAAGTGTTTGTTGCTAAACCAGAAGAGTTTCATTAACTTTCTGTTTCTTCAAATGTTTTCACCTGCTTGAAATGTGACGGAAAAACTCAGACTGGAGCTGAGCTTCTGTGAAATCTGTAGTTTTTATCTTTACGTTTTATAAAAATACTGAAATAAATTCCTATAATGACATAACTTCATTAATAACTGGTAACAGAACCTTATCGTGATCAATAAGGACATCCTCCATTTTGATTTATGAAAAGTCCTGTTTGTTTGTTTAAAAGTTTGCTGGATGTTTTCTAATATTATCCAGCCTGACCTCTGACCTCTTCCTGACCTTCTGGATTCACATCCAGGAGATAAAATTATTCCATAAACTTTCTGAGGGGAAATTCCCACAGATCCGGTTAAATCCCATTAATCATTAATGCTGCATTTTGGGAACAAACAGTCAGATTCATAAGAATCGGCTTCATTTTGACCTAATTGTGACGTTAGAAGTAAATAAATAAAAACCTGCGGACGGTGAGCGTCAGCGTCTTGAACGATCCTTTGATCAGAGCGATGGCTTCCTGTCTGTAGCCGCTCAGCTCCACATCGTTGATGATGATGATCTCATCCCCGACCAGCAGAGGGCGCTCCATGCTGTCCGCCTTACCGCCTTCTTCCACCTGAAAGAAGAAACAAAGCTTCACCAAAATAAAATATCATCTATTGTCCCACAGAGGAGACAATTTGCTGCAACAGCAGAAAACTGATGATATTGGTAGACATATAAAATAGCGGACCGGATTAAAGCGGACCAGAGTCGGGTTAAAGCGGACCGGAGTCAGATTAAAGCGGACCAGAGTCGGATTAAAGCGGACCGGAGTCAGATTAAAGCGGACCGGAGTCAGATTAAAGTTGACCGGAGTCGGGTTAAGGCGGACCGGAGTCAGATTAAAGCAGATCGGAGTCCGTTTAAGGCGGACCGGAGTCAGGTTAAAGCGGACCAGAGTCAGATTAAAGCGGACCGGAGTCAGGTTAAGGAGGACCGGAGTCGGGTTAAAGCGTACCAGAGTCAGATTAAAGCGGACCGGAGTCCGTTTAAGGTGGACCGGAGTCGGGCTAAAGCGGACCGGAGTCGGGTTAAGGCAGACCGGAGTCGGGCTAAAGCGGACCGGAGTCGGGTTAAGGCAGACCGGAGTTGGGTTAAAGTGGACCGGAGTCGGGTTATAGCGGACCGGAGTCGGGTTATAGCGGACCGGAGTCGGGTTAAAGCGGACCGGAGTCGGGTTAAAGCGGACTGGAGTCGGGTTAAAGTGGGCCGGAGTCGGGTTAAAGCGGACCGGAGTTGGGTTAAAGCGGACCGGAGTTGGGTTATAGCGGACCGGAGTCGGGTTATAGCAGACCGGAGTCGGGTTATAGCGGACCGGAGTCGGGTTATAGCAGATCGGAGTCGGGTTATAGCGGACCGGAGTCGGGTTATAGCGGACCGGAGTCGGGTTAAAGCGGACCGGAGTCGGGTTAAAGCGGACTGGAGTCAGATTAAAGTGGACCGGAGTCGGGTTATAGCGGACCGGAGTCGGGTTATAGTGGACTGGAGTCGGGTTATAGCGGACCGGAGTAGGGTTAAAGCGGACCGGAGTCGGGTTAAAGCGGACTGGAGTCAGATTAAAGTGGACCGGAGTCAGGTTATAGCGGACCGGAGGGTTATAGTGGACTGGAGTCGGGTTATAGCGGACCGGAGTCGGGTTATAGTGGACTGGAGTCGGGTTATAGCGGACCGGAGTCGGGTTATAGTGGACTGGAGTCGGGTTATAGCGGACCGGAGTCGGGTTATAGCGGACCGGAGTCGGGTTATAGCGGACTGAACTCTTTCTTGCTGCTCCTCGGTTCTTTTTCTACGTCTCAGTTAGTTTTAGAATCTGTTGTTGCTTCAAAGCGGCTCCATAAAAGCCCGGTTCTCCTTCCAGGATCTTTGGATCGTTCAGAGTGTGGGCAGCAACTCGTTGTCTTAATGTTCCTGTTTTATGCAGAAACCCAAACTCAGACTCTCTGAGGACTGTCCATCCTGCAGCTGCAGACGGACTGACAGGTATCAATAAGCCCCGCACCGCTGCTGCAGCACCGCCAAGCGTGGGCGGGTTCTGGGTGTGTCGCAGCCCAAAACCCATCAGAACCACAGCCAATACTGAGGTTTTTATCTCAGTATCGGTTTAATGGTGTTTAATGGTGATCTAATAAAAAAAAACAAGAAAGGAAGGAAAACGGACAGAAACCAGTCCTGAGTTCTGCAGAACTGTTAGGAGATAAATAAACCCACATAAGGACGGCAGAAACACCGAGAGACTGGGTGTGTGTGTGTGTGTGTGTGTGTGTGTGTGTGTGTGTGTGTGTGTGTGTGTGTGTGTGTGTGTGTGTGTGTGTGTGTGTGTGTGTGTGTGTGTATCACTCGCTACTCCAGCTGACATTCATTACCCAGCAGATGGAGAAATCCAAGCAGAGCTGCTCAGGCTGTTAAAGCAGCACTGAGACAAAAATCAACAAAACACTAAAAACCTCCAATAATCAATAAAAACCAGCAGAGAAACTGATCCTGGATCAATTTCACACTGAGTGATTAGACAAAAAATTATCTAAATAAATCAACATTCAGTCAGGATGGATGGAGGAAATTTAAATATCACATTTAAAAAGGAAAAAGTCATTAAAAAAATCCAATAAAATAGTATTAAATGTCCAAACATATTTGTTGTTTTTTAAATAAATAATAAGATAAATCCGTAAAATTTACGAAAAACATCAAATATAAAAATTTTTGAAACATGTAAAAATATAAAAAGTGACTGTAAAAGAGCAAAAGCTATAAAAACATTTACTGAAATATAAAATAAAATAAAAATCATGAAAGAAATAAACCTGTAAATAAATAATATGATTATCATTACACGTGTGAAGAATCAGAGCGATCCGGTTCAGAACCGAACCGATCCGGTTCAGAACTGATCTGGTTCGGAACGGATCCGGTTCAGAACCGATCCGATCCGGTTCAGAACTGATCTGGTTTGGAACGGATCCGGTTCAGAACCGATCCGATCCGGTTCAGAACTGATCTGGTTCGGAACGGATCCGGTTCAGAACCGATCCGATCCGGTTTGGAACAAATCCGGTTCGGAACCGGTGGACATGCAGCCGTTGCTGCGTTCAATGCATCAGGAAAACGGATTGTCAGATTCCTGTCCCACTTTCCCCGTTAGCAGCTGCTGATTTGCATTTTAATAAAACGAGGTCAGAAGCGACTGATGAGCTTCGTTAACGGTTAGATTTTAAACTATAACTTAATTCTTTTAAACAAACAGGGAAAAAAATGGGGAAACAGATTTAAGGCTCCATTTTTAAGGCTCAACCAATCAGACGCTGGAAACGTTGTGGAAAATATATCCAGAGTCAAAAACAAAGACTTTCTCCAAACTCTTCAATGGCTTTTAATTCACACATCTCTTAAGGCTGTGAGAGGTTTCTTCTATCACACTTTTTTCTTCCACTAAACTTTCCATTACTGTGCTTAGTTAGATACAATCTTTATCATTTACTCCTGTTTGTAGCCAGAAAATGACAAACTGTCAAGTCAACATCTTCCTGTTTGTTTTAAGTCACAAACTGGCAATAACACAGAAGTTTTTGCATTATAAATCTTGGTTAGCTTAGCTTAGCCAAACATACATGAACTGATAAAATGGAACAAAATGTATAAGCCTAAAAATGATGATTGGATCTGGTTGCTTGTTAATTATACTGTCCTTATAATTATGACATACTATGACATAAACTAACATTAGAAAACATACGTTGGAGCTATGCTAAGCTAAATTTAGGTCAGCTAGGCTAATCGTAAGCTACACAAAGCTAAGCTAATATAAACTTAAAGTGATCCAACTAAAAGCTAAACTAAATCATGCTAAGCTAAGACGAAGTAGGTCAACTTATGCAGTTTTGATTGTTCACTTTCTTCAGTCCATGTTTTTCCTTCCACTAAACCTTTCACTATTATAACTGGTACAGTAGTGTTTAGCATTTGCTTTCCTTCCTTATGGAGCGAGCACATGACCAGCCAGTCAGCAGTCTTCCTAATGACTGGGTAAGGTATTAGCTGGGTTAGCTTAGCCATGAAGTGACAAACAACTTATTAAAAAGACAGAAAAGAGAAAGATGTTTAGTCATGTAAATGATGGATTTATGGAACCTGGTCTACATCTTTGTATTATAGATGGATATTTGTGTATTTGTAAATACATCTGTTTTTGTTACTTTCATGTTTATATTTCTAGTTTAGCTTGTTTAGTGTTTTTCTGATTATTTCGTATTTACATTGGACTGAATTAACTTGGTAAATCCGATGCCCTGCTGGCCCTGTTAGGAACAGCTCGGGTCGCTTATGAGTCGAGCCGGCTGATGGGAAAGTTTTTCATTTGTTGGGTTTTAGGAGTAAAACGAGTCTGAACTCTGGTTTTCCTGACCTTGGAGATGATGAGCGGCTGTCCGTGCTCCAGGCCGCCCTGCACGGTGAAGCCCCACGGCGCTCCTCCCTGCAGCCGGGCCTCCACCAGCACCCATCCGCCTCCCTCTCCTCCGCCCGCCGGCTGCAGCCCCGCCCGGCCGCGGCGCTCCATGCCCGGCCCGGGGCCCGGCGCTCAGCCCCGGCGGCGCTGCTGGAGCCCGGATGAGCTTCTCCACTCCGGGTCGCTCACAGGTGCATCGCCGCTCATTTATAAGTCCCGGTTTGCGGGGAAAACAAGGCGGCAGGAGGTTTGCGCCTTTCCTGCAAAGTGCATTCCTGTAGCGCAGAGAGCGGCTGATCCAGTCCAGGGAGAAAGCCGCCCGGATTCAACCTGGAAAGATTCCCGAGAGTTTATGGAGAATCAAAGTGAGACTCGGATCTGCTGGAAATGAATCCAAAGCGTCTCTCTCTCTCTCTCTCTCTCTCTCTCTCTCTCTCTCTCTCTCTCTCTCTCTCTCTCCTCCCAAAATCAGTTTAGCATCACAATAGGATTTACTGCGACTCACCGAGCAAAGAGAAAAGACACAGAAAGAGGAGGAGTAAAGTGGAGAGAGGAGAGAAAGAAAAGGCCAAACAAGGTCTAGAAAAAAAAGTGAAGAAAACTGGAACAAAAATGCAGATAAGCTGAGAATAAAAGGAGGATGTTGTTTGTTTGCGTTCACACTGGAACCAGATTACTGTTAAAAACCAGATTAAACTTCCTTCATGATTAATTTTCCACTAAAATCAGATGATTAGAAACATCAAGAGGATCTACTGTAGGAGGATCTTCTGCTTTAAGCTAAGCCCCGCCCACCATTAAATGAGTTTTAATTTTTAAAACAAGTTTCTCCTCAGAGGCTATGGAGCTAAATTAGGGTCAGAAAGTTTGTTTAAAATAACTAACTGGAAAAGTAGTTTTGAAACTGAAAAATAAAGTTTGTGACCTGATAAAAAGAGTTAGCTGGGGAAGCTAACTGCTGGTTAGCTCTTCAGCTGCTTCCCAGTTTGTTTCACTACGTAAAACTCACCCTAAACTACGAGTAAACAAGAAAACAGAGAAGCGATGAGAGCTGGAGGCCTTCTCTCCAGCTCTCATGTTAGCCTGAACTTGTGAACTTTGTTACTGACAGCCATCTTGGCAGGCAGTTGCTATGGCAACAATAAACAAGCCACAGGTTTAGAACCAGCTCTCCCCTTGTTCCTGTCTAACTACTGAACAATAACCGAAGAGATGTAGCGTCTACCATGAATGTAGATTTGCAAAAACTATAAATTACCTAGTGAAATACTGCTACTTCCGGTGCCTACCGGAAGTGAGAACAGGATCGTTTCCATAGTAACCCTCCAGTAATGTGGTGGATGAACAATCAGTACATTATAACTTTCACTTGGTCACAAATTTTGAGAACTCATCACCATAATATTAAGATAAATATCCAATATTTATTTCAAACTAGCTTAGCTAATGTAGCGGTTAGCTAAGACAGACATGTAGCCTATGTGTTTGTTACTACATGTTAGCCTGACCGTTACCAGAACCTTGTGAATTAACCAGAACCTTTTCCCAACTCAGACAACACTTTGACATCCAGAAGCTAAAAGATGGCGCCCGGGATGCTGAGACCAGCTAAGCTAACCCTGAGAGGCTGAGCTAAAATAACCTGATGTTCATAAACCAAATGGACCCAGAAGACGGAGAGCGTCTCTTATGCAACAGCAGCTGATTAAAGGAAGCAAGTCAGTAAAGTTCCGCTGGTGAAACCCGTGAAGCAGGTCGGCGGCTCCGGAAAGTTCACATTCTTCAGATAGTTTCAAACTGCAGAGAATAAACAGGCAGAGGAGGCGGGTTTATCCCACACTGCCACCTGGCGGACAGATAATAAAACAGCAGGCTCAAAATGACATTTATGAATGATGGATTTCTGCAGATTCATGATTCATTCCTGTTTATTTTTTAACCTCCGAACTTTAATAATAAACTCAGAATATTAACGATGAGAAAGGATAAAAATAAAAGCACAAAAAATTTAATATAACAGCAAAACTAAAATATTTATTGATACATTTAGAGGCACTGCGGTATCAACTAAAACACTGACACAGAATTAGTTAGTATTACAGTGCTAATAACAGAAAGTCTTTAAATACAGCATTAAATATTGTTAAATATGAACATGAATGATGGCCACAATAAGAAATAATGAAATAAATTATGAGAAGACAAATAATGACTTTATCCACATTTTTTCTTGCAATTTTCTGACTGTTACAATTTTATTACCATTGTTACCTTAAAAAAAATGCTTAAGACCTTTTTTCGTATTATTTTGACTTTATATTTTTTCATTGTCACATTATTTCAACTTTATTCTTAAAATTGTAGAACTTTTTTGCAATTTTATGACTTTATTGTTGAATTATCTGGACTAGTTTTATGATTATTTTCATGTTATTTAGATTTTATTCTCATAACTTGATGACTATTTTTTTTATCTTTTTGACTTTATTGTTATTATTTTGATATAATTCTCATATGTTTTATTTTCATATTGTCTCAGTGGGCTCAGTACTTTGCTGTAAACTCTACGGTATTTTTTGCAGTGTTTTTCATCCGTCCTCCTCCAGGCTGTGGATCGTCTGGATGATCTTCTTCTTCATCTTCTTCACTTTGTGCGGCGGCGCCTCGTTCAGACATTCCTCCACGTACTTCAGGAAGCCGGCGTGCGGCGCCTCGCCACGCCGCCCGCTCCTCGCCGGCGCCGCCGGCCGACCCGCCGACCGACCCGCTCGCTTCCTGCTGCTGGTGGAAGACGAGGAGGAGGAGGAAGAGCAGGAGAGCCAGGAGTCCGGGGGGGTCGGTGACGGCGGGACGGACGGGTTCTGGGCAAAGGCATCATTGGCGTCGGCGTCGCAGAGGAACAGCAGGTCCAGGTAGTGCCTCCACTTGGGCAGGTAGAAATCCTCGGAGCCGCAGGTTCTGTTGGCGCTCACCGCCTTGTGCTCCCGCTGGAAGATGGTCCGCAGGTTCCTGAACTTCGTCTTGATGTCTTCCACTGGAACAGGGAGGAGAGCAGAAGCTGGTGGGTTCTGGTTCCGGTTCCGGTTCTGTTCCGGGCCGGCCCAGTTACCTGTGAACGGGACGGGCTCTCCGGCGGACAGCAGGCCGCTCAGCGTCTCCAGCAGGCTCTGGCGCAGCAGCCGGTTCCGGAAGCTGTCGACCCGGTGGTTCCACAGGCAGCTGTGCTCTGAAACACAGGGGCAAGCTGAAAAGTGCGGCATGTTCATCTGTGTTCACCTGCTGCCGGTCAGTACTCTGTAGAACTACGGCTGGACATCGTTTCAATGAATATCAGCAGGAGAAACTGGACTAAAGCCACTTGTTATGTTTTTACAGTGTCTGGACTCACCGGCGTAAAACGAGATGAGCTGCTGAACTTTGGCTTCGCTCCAGAGGCAGCGCGACTCGCCGCTCGCCCGGTCGTCAGCCGGAACCAGAACCCAAGCGGGCTTCCTGTCCGGCGGCGATCCGGACGCCGCTCTGGGATCCTTTAGCTCGGTCTGGTCTGGAGCTGCGGGGAACACCTGGAAGGCGGAGCAGGTGACGGCGTTGCTCTCCGTCTTGATGCTGCAGGCGTCGAAGGAGGAGGCGGAGCAGGAAGTCCGGCTTCCTTCTTGTGGGGCGTCAGGAAAATCGTCTTCCTCAAACGACTCGCAGAGGAAGAGCATCTGGTGGAAATGTTTCCACTTGGACACGTAGGGTTGGTCCGAGTTCTGCTCACCTGGACCGCCTTGAACTCCCGGTTAAAAACCGTCCGAAGGTTCTTGAACTTGGATTTTATGTCTTCCACTGCAAAAAATGACAGACTTTTATGTTAAGAAGCCAAAAAAGGAAGTTTGTGATCTTGACTGCAGATTTAAGGCTCTATAGATTCATAATAATGTTTTATGTTTTTAGTACTTCGGCTACGTTTTCATTTCCCAAACAGCTGCAAGATAAAAACTGGAGCTGGATGCATCTTTGACATGATCTGAAAAAATCTTTAAAAAACTTTATGTTCAGTTTAAAACAGTCTCTTTGTTTAGTAGTTTCCTTTATGCTAACAGTGTCTAAGCTTACAACACTGTAGCTTAACGAAACCTATTTTAGTTTAGCTTAATAAAACATAGCATATAAAACCTAAATATAATTAATTATTAGCCTTCATTAACCTATTTAGCTTAGCTTCACCTAGCTAACAACACCTTAGGGTAGCTTTTTATCAGTTAATCTTAGCTTATTTAATCCAATGTTAGCATAATGAACCTTAGCTTAGTTTGACTTATCTAGCCCCCTCTCACTTCCTTGTTTAGCTTAGCTTAAACTACCAGGGATTTAATTTTGCACATTATAGTTCAGTTTAATTTCCCTTAAATTTAGCTTAATTTTACCTACCTGGTTTAACCTCAGTTTAACTAACTTTACATTAATCATCCTTAAAATTAGCCTAGCTTAACTTAGCATTGTTGAATTTTTTAACCTTAGCTTAGCCATTTAAATGTAAGTTAAATTTCGCCTGCTCAACTTTCCATTAGCTTAGCTAACCTTACCTTAGTCTGACTCAAGTCTTGCTCAGTTTAGCATAAGAAATCTTAGCTTAACTTAACTAAATTGAATCTTAGATTAGATCTTCACCAGCCTATCATAAGTTTAGCTTAGTTTTTTTTAATATGCTGTAAATTATAAAGGTTTGAAACGGAGATAAAAAAGCGTCCAAAGTCCAGAGTAAAATTCTTCATTTTAGACTTTTTAAAACCTGTAAAGGTCCTTTAGCTTGTGATGAATTTGTGCAGAACAGAGAGGAGGATCAGGAGTTTGAGACAATTTTACCAGAAAACAGAACCAGCTGGTCCGAGAGCTGGATCCTGAGGGACTCCAGGAGTTTCTTTCTGAGTTGCCGGTTGTTGTAATTCTCTGATTTCCTGTTCCACAGACAGCCGTGCTCTGCACACATCAATGCAGGAACAAACGCCTGTCAGGAGCAAACCGACGCCTCATCTCTCAATGAAGCCGCCGTTTTATTTATTCACCTGTGTAGAACGCGATGAGCTCCCGCTCCTTCTCCTCCGTCCAGGAGTTCCTCCCAGCGGCGCCGCCTGAGGAAGAGGAGTGGAGGAAGGAGACGCCGAGACCAGGAGAGGAGGGAGGGAGCCAGTTCTCCTCTGTGGGCGGGGAGGGCGGCGTCTCGGCGGCGCCCTCCTCTGGCTCGCAGCAGCCCTGCAGGAAGCTCAGCTGCTGGTAATGCTTCCACTGCGGCACCAAGCCGCCCAGAACCACCAGCTTGGACTGGCACTGGAACGTCGTACGCAGGTTCTTAAATTTGTTCTTGATGTCTTCCACTGGAAGATGAACAACACAGAGGAGATGGGAAGGAACCAGAATGCTGAGGGCAAAGGTCAGATGTTTCCAGAAATGTTAATTTAGGGACAGTTTAGAAATAAAAATAAAAACAGGATGGATGGACGGACGGACGGATGGATGTCCTACAATCTCATCATTCTGGCTGACTGTTATTTTGAAATCCAAGCAGTGGACCTTCCTGTTGGTTTCAGATCTAGCAGTCCGGCACATCTTGTCATATTTAAAAGCTTTGGTCAAACATTGAAACGCTGCGGTGGTTCTGGTCAGAGCTGTCCGCGGTGCAGCGTTAGCCACATCGGTACCTGTGAACGGAACGGGAGGCGGCTGGGAGGAGAGCAGGATCCGGAGGCGCTCCAGGGTTTTCCATCGCAGATCCCGGTTCTTGTAGTTCTCCGACTTGTAGTTTCCACAAACAGCTGTTCTCTGGAGAACAAGAAGACATTTAGCTACAGTCAAAGCAATTAGCTTCATCATGTTTGGCTTCTTTCACACACACATACATCTGTGTTTGGGGGAAACAACTTATTTTATAGACAATGATGTTAAACAGTTTTAATGTGGATGAAACATAATACGCATTAGATTTTTCACATTTCCAGCTTTGTGTGGACTAGGCCTTAACAATAATTTAATACATTCATTTCAATCAAAAACAATTTGAAGATGTTCAGAAACTCATCAAACTGGAATAAACTCCTGATTTTATGGAAGATAACATTAATAATTATATTCATAAGATCTTTTCCTGCTAATTCCTGAGGAAATTTGTTTCTTTTGTCCCTGTAGAAGTTAATTCTCACAGTAATATAATGTTTGTAAAAATCACTGCATTAATCAAAGATGCTAAAGATGTTTATTATCATCTAGTGTCCATTCATTTAAACAGGATAATTTAAATGAATAAGTTCATTTTAAATATTGCAATCTTCTGGAAAACAAATACAAAAAAAAATAATAATCTGGAAAATAAATGAGTTTTTAAAAGGTGCAGAATCGCTAATGATGCTTTAAAAGACATTAATTGATCCTAGAGAGAATTATTGCTGATACGTTTCCAATCTGTGTAAAATAAATAAATATCAACCAGGCTTTTCTATTTGACAGTTAGAGAATATTTCAGCAATAAACACCATCAGTGATCATTTTAATCATTGCATAATCTTCCGGTGATGAACGCCTTTGATAATTAATCTGGTTTACAATCTTTGCAATAATCCAAATGAAAATCAGGAGCAGTTTGGATCAATGACCAGAACCCTTCGTCCCGTTGCTCGTTGCTTCGACTCGTTGCTTCAGTGGAGCAACGGTTGCCTTCCCCTCCTCCCCCACTCCAACGTCCCAAAGCTGTTGCTTGTTTCAGCGACACGGTGCCGAGCCGAGCGAACCGGAGCCGAGTCCGTATGGCGAGGAGAACCGGACCGAACATGTCGGACTTACGGGAGAAAAACGCAATGAGCGTCCTCTCTTTCTCCTCCGTCCAGCTCCTCTCCTGAGTGGCTGCCATGTTTGTTGTTGCCCGTCAGGCCGAGAGGCCACGTGACCTCAAAGCCGAAGCGCTGATTGGCCGAGTTGTTGGCGTTCCTGAATTACGCCGGGTTTCCCGCTAGAGGCCGCTGGTGTTCATGTTTGAGAGTGAAATGATGGCGATGAATGGATGAATGACAAACGTGAATGCATTAATAGAATTAGAAAATGAATGGATTGGAAGAAAAACAGATGGAATAAATGATGGTTGGTGGAATTAAGGTTCAAATCAATATTTAAATTGATGGAAGAAAATTGATGAACAGAGAAAAACTGGATGGTTTTAAAGTGATGCATTAATAGAACGGTGAACAATGGACAAAGCAAGACGGCAGTGATTGGGAAAAGATGGATGGATGAACCAATGATCGGATGGATGTGCAAACATCAAACCAGTTTATCTTGTTTGTATCTCCAGTAGTACCAAATATTTATCCATACTTACCAAAATCTGGAATTAAAAGCAACACTGATCATTTCCAGTGAACAGAAATGAGACATGAAGCAGATGTGAAACATGTTTGTACCGTTTTAATATCAATACAGCTCCAGACGAGACGACATCCCAGTTCAGCTCACATCAACAGACATCCAGTCAACTCATGTACAGTATTTACAGAACCGGCCCGGTTTCACAGCGGATCGCACCGGGCCGCGGCTGGGATCAGTATTTACAGGAGCGCTGAGGAGAGGCGGGAACATTTCCAAAGGAAAACTGTTTCACCAAATCGTCTGATTAGCAAAAGAGCTAAAAAAATAAACGTGTTTAAGTGGTTTCAATCCAGCTCTGCTGAATTCCAGTTTAAAAAACCAACCAGCCCTGGTGCTGGTCTGAGTGTTAGCATACTGAGGTCGCTTCTGATTGGATACAAAAACGTCACGGAAACATTTAGCTGCCCATCCGAGGCCGGACTCACCCACAAAGCAGAGAACACAGAGATGTTTCCGAAACGATCCGGGAGAAAACGGATCCCGCCTTCCCAGGTTTGTAAGAACACTTCAGTTCTGTTCTGGTTCCTCCCGTCTGAAAAGGCTTCTGCGGTTCTGACTGGATTTGGGAATTAAAAAGCCAGAAGAAGCATTCCAAGAGCAGAAGCAGCTAGCCTTTGATTTACAGGACACATATCATCAGTCAGGCTAGAAAACTTTAAAAAGAATGATATAATCAGCGCCAGGGATCATTTTCCATCTCATAATCTGGACAGGAAGTTCAGATGCTAACCGCAGCTGTTTGTGAGCATAAAGTTGACCAACTAAGAAAGTTTTGGATTTTTGTTGCGACTGTCAAAATGAAGGAGCAGAAACTACATTAACCTTATCACTATTTCAGTTTCTGTTTTAATTACCGTATTTTCTGGACTACAAGTCACAGTTTCCATAGTTTGTCTCGTTCTGTGACTTGCAGTAATTATGTAACATATAGAAAAATGTATTCACGCAATTTTAACTGCATTTCTTAATTAATGGAAACACAGCAACTGCAAAATTGCATTCTTTTATGTTAGCAGAATATCAACATTTGTAATGGACATGCAGCCATTTACCACTGTGGGCGGTTTTAAATTTTTTGCATGTGGTGCTGGTTTACAAAGTCTCCTCAATGCAGAAGAAAATTCCCTAAATGTTCAGTTTATAATCTCAGACTATAATTTCTATAATTTCAGGTGGATGTTGATGCCAAGTTCTGAGTTGAATGCCAGCTCTAATTTGGCAACATTTTCTATTTCAGATGTAGAAAATTACTGCGAGTATCATGAATGAAATACTGGAAAAAAAACACATAAAAAAAGGAAGATATGATGATATGTGTCCTCTAAACTCGACCAGAGACGGAAACTAGCCGACCCCACGTCACACTTACAGTATTTACAAACCAGAGTTTCATTC